TGTAGGTGAGTGTGTCAGGCTTCTGAATGGACTGCAACAAACCCTGTCTCATAGGCTTGCTGAAACAAAGTGCTGCATTTGGGCAGCAGCCCCCAGTGAAAGTCAGACTCAATGTCTTGTTGACAATGGAGCTCAACATGGAAGCCTAAAAATAATTGCCATGATCTTTGGAAGCTTATTCTCTGGGTTTTTCTCCTTCGACTTTCTTAAGCATGAAATAACTAATAATTTCAGATGGTTTAGGGTCCAGGACTCATCACATGAGAGTCTGACGTTGCAGCACATCGGTGAAATAAAAAGGCAACTCTACCATCTTGTGAGCAGTTTTCAAGGCATGTCCTGAGCTAGAGAAGCCAAGGTGAAAAAGAAGAACAGTTGAGAGGAGCTGCGTGCTGGCCATCGGGTCCCCTTGTTTCCTGGCTCGAAACCAGTCCTAATCAACACACACAGTGACAATCCTCTGTATGGTATCATGTGTCTACAATTGTTTTACATCCTTTTTCCTGATTAGCATTTAAATACCACAACGTATAAAACAACGTTGTGATTTAAAAACCTACACGGAAAAAGCCAATAGATGTTGCCAAAGGATAAACACAAAAACAACATTAGAAGTCCAACAATAAGTATTCTGCTCCTTGAGTCGCCTGTATTATTTCTGACTGCACAGGAATTCCATCTTCTCTGAGTTAGGACAAAGAAGAAAAGCAGGTGCCAGCCTTGTGTGACCCCCAAATCCAAGAGGCATTTGGGCTGCTGTGAAGGGTGGGGAAGCCTAGGCTTCTCTGCTGTAGCATCAATTCCCTGAGCAGCTCCGTGCTCTCAGCAAAAAGAAGCATGCCCTCAGGCATCCAGGCATTGGTTTGGGTGTGCTTGTGGAGGTCACTTCCATCTTCCTATGGTTTCTGTCTTCACAGAGGCAGGAAGTCCTCCACATGACTGGAATGTGCCAAGGCATGTATTATTAGTCCACTTGGAAAACTAATTATTTCCTAAGTCAACATTGAGGCTTATTTTGGGGTGCTCACCTTTTCAAAGACACAAAAGCTGTAATGTCCCCAAAGAATCTTATCTCCTAAAGTTTCTAGCTCCCCGAAAGCAGTTAGTTGTGTATTAACTGGGGCTACGATTCTAGCCTCTGGAGGGGAGGGCTGGTTCCCTGATGACTCACACTTCACAGCGGGAGTCTCTCACAAATGAGTTAGAGCTAGCCTCTTGTAAAACTCTGATCTTATAGATAAATAAGATCACATATTAAGATATGTAATAAATATATTAGCAATATATTCAGCGTTTTACAATATACCAAAGTATTGTCTTCACCCTATTTCAAATTTCTAGAACCTAAGGGCCCAACAAGTTTTGGGTAGTTTTCCTTAATTCAGAAAAGCAGACGACCTTTCAAAATTCTAAAAAAAAATTAAAACATAAAACACATCCTACCACCTCCTTGATTTTCTCTCCCATTAGTCCAATATTTTATCTTCCTTTCTGCAATAACTGTATCCGCTAATGTGAACTATTTACCCTAATACTTAGGTGGCTTCAGCAAATATTGAATTAAGCATCTTAATGCTTAATGTTATATTATGTATGATAGAGCTATCTCCCTAACCAGGTCATAAGTCTAGTAAGGACAAAATTTATGCCTTGTACACATTTCCTATTTTCCAAAGTATTTAGGTTAATTTGGGTACAATGTATAAATAAATAAAAGTTTCTTAACCTGTTCAATTTTTATAGAGAAAATGCACTAAAAAATAATAGAACAATCATGTCCCGTTAGTTGTTACCCCAAAATTTCCAAACAATGCTCAGCGAAGCGCCATTCTACAAGTTGTGAAGAAAGATACCCTAAGACTCACTGCGGGTCATAGGGACTAGCACAGTTTTTAAACTCTGGTCCAGCACAAATGAGGCCAAAGTGCCACAGAACCAAAGAAGAAAACAACAGTCTCGGGTCAGAGACACAGGTAAACAAGATTACTTAAGACCAGTATTCCCCAAGACTACTTATTTACAAATCTAGCATCTCTTCGTTTTATTTTGATTTTTTGAAAGGCGTGCTCAGGAACTTTCTGGTTAACTCTGATGTCTTCTGAGACTTTAGGACTGGTCTCCACACTGAGTGTAATCCAGTAATTTACACTACTAAAACAGCTGACAATCTGATTCAGTTAACTGGCAAGTGCTACCTCCTATCAACGCAATCAGCAGGAAGCACTTCCTCTTCTCTAAATTGTGTAATGAGCAAAGGTTCTGTGAACCATGAGACTTCGATACAAGTTCTCCTGACAAAGATGCAGACGCAGGAGTAGCCGGCGCCTCCTGGGGTTGGCTGAAATCAAGATATGTGATTTGTGCCCATGTTCAAGATTCCTTCTGTGGCTTTAAACTTTTATGGTTATGATATTTAATGACTGGAGTGTAAGATATGTGTCTTTGGCTTCAAGAAATAGGAAAGTCATTATATTATAAGAAGAAGCACAATGAATAGAAACATAGTGAATCATTTGGATAAAAATTACATCTGTCCTCAGAAACAGGGTACCCCCAGATGGTCGTTACTGAGATGACTACCAAGTGTATATGGAATAATTGATGTGGATCGCTAAGAAGATCTCGTTGAATGCACAAGTATTTTATGATCCTATTAGTCACTCAAAGACAAATACATCTATTTAACCAAATGCAGTTAAATTACAACTATAATTCCGAAATTTAATAACCATATGCAAAATGTCAGGTGAAAAATAATGCTTTGTATTTTTAAAATTCCTTCAAAATATCATTCCATAAATTAAGTAGAATTCATTTCATGTTTATTCCCTAACGCCTTTTTATCAGGGAGAAAGAGAATCAAAAGTATCTACAGAAAGAATTTACAGTATTTATGGAGATAACTTGTGCCATGCTTTATAGTTATATCTACTTCTAGTAGTTACAAATGAAAAAAATACAAAGCAACTTAGTTTTCTATTGTTTTTAATTAAAGGTTTGCAATAAAACTTTTTAAGAAAAATAAATTCTCATTAGCTTGTTTGTGAAAACAACTGTTTTACCCTTGTACCTCCCAAATGAGAGTTAGAAGTAATTCGCAGACTATGCATTTCAAATGGTATATATAAAACTTGGATTACAGGTATATATAAAACTTGGATTACAGGTACATATAAAACTTGGATTACAGGTATATATAAAACTTGGATTACAGGTATATATAAAACTTGGATTGCAGGTATATATAAAACTTGGATTGCAGGTATATATAAAACTTGGATTACAGGTATATATAAATCTTGGATTACAGGTATATGTAAAACTTGGATTACAAGTATATATAAAACTTGGATTACAGGTATATATAAAACTTGGATTACAGATGTTACCACAGGATGGTGGTATGGTTTATATTTCCTATGGTTTGACTTCTTTTCTTGTAACATTTTTTGTTTGGTGCTAATTATAATTTTTGGTATCTCCTAATCATCGAAATAATCTGTAGATTGTGATATATAGCAAAATAGAAATTGTGTCATTTAGGCTTTAATGATATAAATGTGTAACATGATTTCTAACCTACTAATGTTTATATGGTGTACTGATGTATTTCAAAAGGGAGCAGAAGTGAAAAGACCACTTTTACCCATACAAAAATGCTTTCATGTTGAGTTAAAACACAGATATGTTCCCAAACACACATAATTTGAAACAGTTAAAATTTGATGAAAACAAAGTAATTAGCATTACATAAAAACTTTAAAAGTTTTCTTTCATGGAAAAAAAGAAATAGGAAAGTCACTAAATCATACATATTTATCCTACAATCAAGTAGGGTAAAAACTGAGCAATACAAACCTTGATTGGTTACAAACATGGTAAGATTTATATATACTGGTTTTTCGAGACAGGGTTTCTCTGTAGTTTTGGTGCCTGTCCTGGAACTAGCTCTTGTAGACCAGGCTGGCCTCAAACTCCCAGAGATCCGCCTGCCTCTGCCTCCCGAGTGCTGGGATTAAAGGCGTGCGCCACCACCGCCTGGCCAAGATTTATATATTATTAAGTATTAGTACCATCCCATTATTAAGTATTTATTAGTACCATCCCATTATTAAGTATTAACCATCCCATTTTGCTCTTTACTACTATGAAAAACACACAGAACAATTTGGGGAGAAAAGGTTTACTTCATATTCCAGTCCATTGGGAAAAGAAGTCAGGGCAGAACTCAAGGCAGAAACCTGGAGGCAAGAAATGGAGCTGATGCCATGGAGGAACGCTGCTTTCTTGGTCCCCATGACTCACTCAGCTTACTTTCTTACATAACCCAGGATGACCTTTCCAGGGGTGGCATCACCCATAGTGGAGTGGGCCCTCTAACATCAATCATTAATTAAGAAAAATGTACCACAAACATGCCTACTGGCCAAACTGATGGAGGCATTTTCTTCCCAGATGATTGCTTGAGTCATGTTGACAAAACAACAACAACAACAATTAAAAAAACTAATTAGTACATATTCTACAGCTTATGCAAATTCTAAAACCAGTCACTGACTATTAATCTATGGGATTCAAAATCTGAGGACTCGGGCACCAGGATGTCATGTGTGACTGGGCATCACCACTAGAGAAGCATTTTATTCATTCTTTATTGTAAGACAGTGCTGTTTTTATTTTCTGGTCATGGTATCCCAAACCTTTGGGGTGATGCTAACCCAAAGTTATGCTAATCCCCACTTGGCTAAGCTCCTAAGCCCTCCCTGAAGCAGATTGTATAGAACCAGCTGCTGATAAGTTCAGCAGACCTTGGTGGCTGCCCAGGGTCCAAGAAACCCATGAAGCCACAATTGAGAAGTTTATTAGGGGCCGCACCTCATACTCCTTATTCTTCTCGGTGGACATTCAAAGTGGAGCCTTATTAACTGTGACAAGACATTCAAAGCTGTTCCTTGTCCATCCTCAACCTTGATATCACCCTCTGCTTTGTTTTCTCACAGGCTCCTGCCCTGCAAAATGAAACTGCAATGCCCGAAAGAAGCAATGCTTGGCCATTAAGGCCATGTTTGAAACTTGGTGGTAATACCTGGAAAAACCAGGCATCCAGCCGTAGCCTGCACCAGTCTTCACAACTAGGAAGGCCTCTTGATGACCCGTAACCTCTACCAACCCCGGAGCTATTGAGCCCTTACCCACCTCTTGATTTCAGGACTCATTTGATCCTGAGGACCACAAACTGGTGAGCTGATGTGCTGTCTCCTAAATTTAAAATTCTTCTTCCATTCAAGAAGCTGTCTTCACCAGGCTGTCAGACCTGCTACACTTCTCCTGTTGAAGAGTAGCAAACGACCGCTGCTCTCTGGTCCTGGACCAGACTTTAGCCTGGGAACGATGATCCTTGTCCATTGTGGACTGTTTGCCAACGTGTCTTGGTCTAGAGCATCCAAACTGAGGTCCAAGTCTGAATCACAGTGGTGGTGTCCTCTTGCCTCCAGCTCTGACCTGGTCAAGAATCACCTGGGTTCTCAGATGACCGGGATACAGGGAGGTGTGAAGGACCAAGGAGAATGTGCCTTGGCAGACTAAACCAGAGAAAAATAGAACTCTCTTCCAACTCTCACTGAATCAGTTGTGACTGTGATTAATCATATTTTGTCATAAATTCCTCTCCATGTTACTAAAATAATACCCATATTCATATTTATGACAGGTTTAATTTTCTCCATGCAAAAGACATTGCCTTTACTCAAAGACCAAAATGTATACATTTTACATGAGTTCCTGGCTAATGGAGAGCCTCTAACTTGAATCCATAAAAAGTAGATTTTTTTTCATTGTAGATTAGGATCACTTGGATGCTATTCTCTACCTTAATGTTGTAGTGCTGGTATATACCACCCTTTCACGAAGAAAGCTGAGTTTTCCCCCAGGTCTATTCCATTAAAACAACCTCTTTCCAACAAAATTCGGAAGCTGTTTATGAAACATACAATGCCCTTATGAACTTAACTTTGAAAAAGATCTAGCACTGCACTGAATTCTGGGAATGCAATGAGTAAGTCATGTTCTTTCCTCAAGAAGTTTGCAATCCAATGCGGAGGTCAGATAAGCTGGCTTAGGAAGCACTGTAGCTGTGCAGTGGTAGTCATGGGTTTGCACCTCTGCTCCTTGATGCCAGGGAGCCCTGGGCAATCTTCTAATATCCAAAGTTGAAAGCCAGATTGCAGACATCTTGCTCTTTTAGAGTCCCTGCAAGTTGTGACCCAGCAGTCTCTAGTGGCTAAAGCATTAGTTCCAAGCCATCCGACTTGTAAACAAGTTATATGCCTGCTTACAGTGCACTTTTCCCAATGTGCAAACTGGAGACTCTTCTGCAGTAGCTTAAGGTAAAAAGCAGACTGCAAAGTCAGAAGATGTGGTACTAAGTTTAGGTCCTGCTATTTACTATGACTGAGGGCAAATCACTTGCACTCTATGGTCTTTGGTGTCTAGCTTTGACAAGTGAAAATAAAAGCATTATCTCCTGTTCCTACCTCACAAGGTTGTTGTGAGAAGTGAGACTGTACATGAAAGAACCTTGTTAGCTGTCAGCTTTTCATCACCGTCGGTTCTTGATCCTTGCTACCAAATACAATGCCAGCATTTGCCACAAGGGCATACTCTTATTCTGCCTTTACCCTGCACAATGGAATGGTGCAAGGAAGATCGAGGTCATTACTTCCTGGATATCTGGTTTCAACATGGGAATGGGAATGCTTTCCAGAATGACAAAGGTAAAGAATAAGGAGCAAAGCCAGGACCCTACTGCCACACTGGTACGCCACGATTGACACACAGCGACACATGGGTCTGTCAGCCTCCTTCACAAAAGCTTGTCCCTAAGGCTTGTGGCAGAGAATCTATCCTTGGTTCCAGAAAACCAGCCACACTGTCGTAGTTCGTAGTATCACCTTATCTATCACTGCCCGAAGTATCACTAACCTCTCTAATAGAGCGCATGCCTCCCCAAGTAAACTGATGGATTATTCAAAAGGGACAATAATCCAGATAAATAAAGTATAAGCTGTCCACAACTGCCTGATCTATTGCAATTGGACTAGCAGAGGAAATTTCTAGATATGAATTAAAACAAGAAAGTGATGACATTTTTTTTATCATTTAACCCTCACATCAACTTAGCTTTTAGCATTATGATTTTTACTTGACTACTCTATCTGTCCAACAGAATGAGGATAAGATTTGCTCCTGATAACAAGTCTTAGACATCTCATTTATGTACGCAAACACACACACACACACACACACACACACACACACACATAGGCACAGGTACATGTATACTCCCAAACACAGGCACATGAGCATACACACAAATAGGCACAAGCATATGTGCATGCACACACGCATACACAAATATACAAACACAGGCACAGGCATCTGTATCCACAAAGGGCAAAGGCACATGTACATCTGTAGGCACATGAACGTACATATCATCATATCATATCATATGGCTGAGGAACAGGGAAGAATGCCACCATTTTGATGGGGGATGTCTTTCTGTATGCTGTGAATATGTTTTATTACCATTGGTTAATAAAGAAGCTGATTTGGCCAACAGTCAGGCAAAATAGGATCAGGCAGGAAATCCAAACAGATACAGGAGAAGGGTGAAGTCTGGGAGATGCCAGCTGCCACCCAAGGAGCAACATGCCAGAATCTCACTGGTAATCCACAGGCCACATGGCAATACATAGATTAATAGAAATGGGTTAATTTAAAAGAGCTAGTCAGTAATAAGCCTGAGTCATTGGCCAAACTTTTATAACTAATAAAAGCCTTTGAGTGTTTATTCAGGAACTGGTGAGCAGGAGAGACACCTCCAGTTACACCATTTTCTTGTCTCTATGCATGGCTGACCCTGACTGGACTTTATTGCTGATGATTTAACATGGATTCTGGAATAGTTGATCTGATTTGAGGTCACTATCACTGAATGTGCCCTAATCTACCCCAAGATAACACTCTGATTCCATTTCGGGCTTATGTAGAAGTTTAAGTAGAAGTTACAATCTGATGGAGCCCCTGATACCCAGCAATCCTTAATCAAAGGGAGAGCTTTCCCCTCAAAATCCATGAGCTTCTCCAAAGCTCATAACATCTTTCCATGTTCCCCAAGAATAACTTCACATTTTCTATCAGTGTCATTTTGGGTCAATAGAGCGATGGTTGTGTACAGGAGATCTGACAGAATTGTGACCCAAAAGAGTCCCAAACCCCAAACAGAAAATTTTCCATTGTCCTCATTCCTCAAGATCCTAGAGCAAGGAGAAAAGATTATGGGTAAAAAGTTCATTCGGTGTTGAATCATTTTTAGTGTAAAACACAAATCACCCACAATCTCCTCCTTGCTGTGAGTGACATTAGCTAACCAAATACAACATCCACTGGGCTGAAAAGTCCTTAAGACATTGACACTACATTGTCAGTACCTAAAATAAGTTGAAAACTTAAAACAATGTCTTCTATTATAGTTCATACTCACCACTTGCTTCGGGAATGAAGCCAGGCAGACTCAAAGCAGCAGCCACCCAAGGTCAGAGGCACTGGGCCAAAGGACCCAGCAAAGAGCAGACCTGAGCCAGCAGGGAAAGCTGTCACTGAAATGGCAGCCATGCTTACAGAACAAGATGTTCTACAGGTCAGGGGGCTAAGGAAGAGTAGACAGATCGAGGCAGGAAGGCAAATTAAGATGTTGGAACAGGCATGGAGTTGAGGAAAAGTAGGCAAAGAATGCATCACCCACTCCACACAGCGTTTGTCCCACAGTGGCTGTTACTGTGGCTGCCAGGATTATGTCATAGTTCTTTTCTACGAATTAAAATCCTCACTATTACTGATGTTGCTTAACATAGCCAATCCAGAACAGAAAATATTTCCTTATTCCAGGCAAAGACATAGTTTTTTTTTTTTTTTTTTTTTTTACATCCTAGCTGATGTAACTTTCTTTTACGGGGATTTTTAATTTGTTCACAAATCTTTAATGTTATTTTATCAATAAAATTTTGTCAATAAATACTTCCCTGGTTGAATTCCAATTCCTTTGTTAAATTATTTAAACTCAGAAACAAAATCCAGTCATGTTGATTTATCATTTGCCTGCACTTGCGTTCTCTAGGCTATGGGAGGGGGAAGGTGTTCTGACATTACTGATGGGCAAGTGAGATGGAAACAATTAGGGAGGAACACCAGGAGCTGGTAAGCATAGGGCACTTGCAGGGGACTCACAGCAAGCATTCCGGATGAACTTCAGTCTGCAAATTGTACCTCAGCTTCCAAAAGTCAGAGGCGATCAACCCTCCCCTGGCCCAACAGGATGCAGAAAGCGCCTGGTGAGAGACAGACATATGGGACAGAAAAAAAAATAATGAAGGCAGCATTTTGCAGGAAGGAGTAGTTAAGCAGAGACCATAGCTGGCAAGAGCGCCACACTTTGCAGGGAACTGGTGTTAGAGGTTCCAGCAGTAGATGGAAGAGAGCCAGGAGCCACAATGGTAAGAAGGGGGGAGCAGTTTCCACAGCTCGTGTTTGACTTCCGTGTGTTTTAAAGCAAAGAGCTCACTACTTCTTGTAAAAGGGTGTGTGTGTGTGTGTGTGTGTGTGTGTGTGTGTGTGTGTGTTTAACAGATCTAACAGAACCTGATCAGGCTTGAATCTATATGAATGGATTGCAGACCCTGGGTTAAGAATAAAGAAACATAATCTACAGAGTAGCATCAGAGACACAGCGACAGCCTCTGTAGTGTGAGAACTGGAAGTCACCAGGAGAAGGAAAGTGGTCTGAGTCCTGTCCAATGGGCTGTGTAGAGAAACACGATGGCTCGGTAAATGGTATCTGCTTCTTAATCTTGGTGCGTGTTGTGTCTTCTCTTCTGAACGCGCTCACATGCTCTGGAAAGTCAAGGATGCATGCAGCCAGTTTAAAGGGAAGAGTACCTGTAAGTATAAGAATTAGAGAAATTCTAACTGATAATAACCAAAAATTAAACCAAGTAATCAGCCCAACAAAATGTAATTTCATTCCCTTTCTATTGTCTCTAGTGTAAATATAATACTAACTTTTCCATAAACAACCTTTTTCTCCATAAATCCAATATTTATATATTGAAAGTTGGAAGATTTTTCTTTTCTTTCCTTTCCTTTTCTTTTTTTTTTTTAACTAGATCAAACTTTAGCAGCAAGTAAAATCTTAGAAGGTCTTAAAACAAAATCCTGAACTTATTTGTTTTCCATTTATGGTAAGTTCCAACTGTACTCCAGATAGAAATGTACAAAACAGTAAACAAAGTCACAGCAGTCAGAGAAGGAAGGGCCTTAAACTCCATGCCAGTAACTGTATATTTACTAGCTGAGACAAAGGGCTGAGGAAAGGAAAAAGCTTCAATGGCAGTGAATGACGAAGAAGCTGGACCCAGACTGAAGTATTTAAAGAAGTAGGGGTTGAGCTAAAATAAGAATGGTGAGTAGAAGTTTGGGGATAAGTAAAGGTGCAGAGGGGCCAACAAGGCTCCTCTGAAAACTGAAGTGCTGATGAGCCTCTGAGAGCTACCACAGCCCAGGTGACTTGAGACTTGAAAGCAAGATTAATGGCAGGAGGTGAGTAGCAGAAGTGGTGGGAACTAAACCTCGGCCTTAGAGACCCTGTCAAGGAACTTGGTCTTGTTCTGCACCTCAACAAAACTGACAGGGGAGGCTGGGCATGAACCGTCTTCTTGGGCTGTGTTCCCTTGAATGCTACCATTGTAAATTTATCTTTGGTTGGTGTGAGTTAATCTCGTTTGTGAACTGAATAGGATCTGAGGTCTCTTGGAGAGAAACCTCTGGGTATCTCTTTGGGCACTTCCAGGGAGGCTTAGTTGAAGGAGGTCCACCCGGAATGTGGGCAGTACCACTCCCATGGTGCTCAGGTCCTGAACTGAATAAAAAGAGAAAGTAAATAGAACAGACATCCTGTATCAGCTTCCTGACTGCAGAGTGACCAGCTGCCTCAAGTGCCTGCTGCCTCCCCTTCCCAACAATGGTGACCTGCATCCCTCAAACTGTGACACAAAATAAACCTCTTGTCTCTTAACTTGTTTTTTGTCAAGTATTCAACCACTGATGATGAGAAAAACAAATGACATAGCTGGATTTATTTCAGCGTATCTGGAGCTGTGGATTCAATCATAAACACCATGTTTATCAGGCAATGGAACAGATTCTATATTCCTAGCTCTTCTAAACACAGGAGGAACAGAAATTCAATGTCATCGTTTGCTGCAAATGTGTGTGTGTGTGTGTGTGTGTGTGTGTGTGTGTGTTTGTATAATTTGGAGATATTCATCCACGTGGTACCAAGGACTTTGCTTTTGCACTGTTGTCATGGGCATAATACACACAAAGTTTCTCTCTTTTAAACAGATTTTAAGCATCCTCCCAATGACATCAGGTAAAGATATTTTGAAAGCTTTGTCAAGAGGAAATGAAAGTGTCATTACTCTTTAGTGCTGCACAATGAACAGAGGTTCTATTTAGAATGCAAAAAGCAGATAAAGGAAACTCACAGATACAGAAAAACCACAATGTGCCACTGGCCAATATCAACTGCAATGGGAACCTACCCTCCATCAGCCCTCCCTTCCCCCTGCTGATTCTCAGCACCTCCAGCAGCTGGGCATCTTAAAAACAACAGGCCATCAGTGACCACCAGAGCGTTCCTGCAGAAGGACAAGAAAGTCCACATGCAGCTCAGTTACACTTGCTTATCTGTCCCCGGTTTGGAAAACCTAATTGACACTTTTCCTTATTGTCTTGGCAGCCATTCTCTTTGTTCTTTGTATTTTTGCCTTTTGTGTCCTTTTCCAGTCATCAAAATGACATTTGAGGAAGACTTCTGAGTGCTGGACCCCAATCACTTACCTGAAACTTTCTTACAATTTTTTTTTTTTTTTTGCATTTCCAGGTTGAATTTTCCTTCCATCTTCATGGACCAACATGAATTGCCTCTTTTTATGTTTGCCAGTGTTTCTATCAGGAATTACTCTCCTTCTTATAGAATCCAGTACTTTACTCCTATAGCATTTATAATAATGTACAGTGTGTAAAATGCTTCGCTTGTTTGGTGGCAGGGTCTCATATATACTGGGCTTACCTGAACTCATGTTCTGGTGTGGGACAATGGTCTGTATTCTGTCAATTATATTTAAAAAAAAAAAAAAAACGCTGATTAGCTAGGAGCCA